ATTCTAAGAAACCAAAAGCAGCACAAGAAGAAGCACTCAAACGCTTCCATGAACTTCTCAGAGTTTTCTAAGTGCTCAGAGAGGTAGAAGACCATAGACCATATCTAAAAAAAAAAAAAAAACTTTAAGACAAGGCAAAAGCAGACAAGGCTCGTTATGAAAGAGAAATGAAAACATATTCCTCCTAAAGGAGAAACAAAAAAAGAAGTTCAAGGATCCCAATGCGCCTAAGAGGTCTGCTTTGACCTTCTTGTTTTGTTCTGAGTATCACCCAAAAAATCAAAGGAGAACATCCTGGGCTCTCCACTGGTGATGTTGCAAAGAAACTTGGAGAAATGTGGAATAATACTGCAGCAGATGATAAGCAGCCATACCAGAAGGCTGCTAAGCTGAAGGAGAAGTATGAAAAGGACATCGCTGCCTCTGGGGCTAAAGAAAAATATGATGCAGCAAAAAAGGGAGTTGTCAAGGCTGAAAAAAGCAATAAAAGGAAGAAGAGGAGGAGGATGAGGAAGATGATGAAGAGGAAGATGAAGAGGATGAAGATGATGATGAATAAGTTTGCTCTAGTGCAGGTTTTTTCTTGTCTATAAAGAAGCAATCAATCCCCCTGTACACAATTTTTGTAGGAAAAAAAAACTGAAATGTAAGGCTGTGTAAGATTTGTTTTTAAACTGCACAGTGTCTTTTTTTTTTTTGTATAGTTAACACACTATTGAGTGTGTCTTTTAATAGCCCTGTCCTGGTGGTATTTTCAATAGCCACTAACCTCACCTGGTACAGTATGGGGGTTATAAATTGGCATGGAAATTTAAAGCACGTTCTTATTTATGCACAGTAAAAATTGGTTATATATGGGGATGGCAGTTTTTCATCTTCAGTTGTCTCTGATTATTACACAGCTTATGTGAAGTAATTGCTCTGTTAACTGAATACCACTCTGTAATTGCAAAAAAAAAAAAAAAAAAAAAGTCGCAACTGTTTGGTTGACATTTTGAATGCTCCTAAATAAATACAATTTTTCTTATTAAAAAAAAAAAGAGGGGCTGGGGAGATGGCTCAGTAGAATAAGCGCTTTCCTGGAAAACGCAAGGGACTGAGTTCAATCCCCAGTTCCGCAAAAAAAGAAAAAAAGAAAGGAAAAGAACAAGGGCTGGGGAGATGGCTCAGTAGGATAAGCGCCTGACTGGCAAACACAAGGATCTGAGTTCAATCCCTGGTTCCGCAAAACAAAACAAAAAAAAAAAAAGAGCAGAGACTGGGTGTGGTGGCCTGTGCCTATAATCTAAGCTCTTGGGAGGCTGAAAACAAGAGGATCACTACGAGTCTGATCTGTATAGTGAGACTCTCTAGACCCTGTACTAACTACATAAAAAGCCAAACAAACACCACACACACACACAGAGGACTAAGCAGCAAATTAAAAACAAAAACTACTAGCCAAACAGTTATGTTCAGCCTCATTTCCTATTTATCTTAGCAACATATGCTTGGACTTTCAGTCCTCTATACCCACACCATTGCTTAATCAGAGCAAAATCTCTCTTCCTCTAAAACTCTTGAGTATTACATAGTGCTTTTTGACTAGGTATGTAGCACAATGAGATCTGAGTTAAAATACTCTTTCCAATATTCTAAGCCTATTTTCTAATGTCTCCTAGTTTTACATCCAAAATAATCTGGAATTTCCTTTACTAGATTTGTAATTATGGTCAGCTCTACTCCAGATTCAAAGCCTGGCTGTTAGTTGCAATAACTGTCAAAACTCCAGAAGGAGAAGGCCCAACATCATCATCCCTCAACCAGTCACCATGGAGATGGAGGCTCAGGCTGTATTTAAGCAGCATACTTACTCATTCTTAGGCTGACTTTTTTTCTATTTTAATTCTGAATTCCTCTCACTCTTAACCTACACGACCTAGTTTCCTTCTCTACTCTCTGGTTCTTTCCCCAAATATTTAAGGCCCCTGTAGGTCCAATTTTTTTAATTTCAGAGCTTACTACAATTCTGACTCTTTAAAATACACAACTGCAGCCAAGTAGGGCAAATACACCTGTAATCCCAGCTCTTGGGAGGTTGAGGGAGCAGGATCAAGGCCAGCCTGAGCTACATGGTGATTTCAGGGCCAACTTGGAATAGGGAGAAATGTCTCAAAAAGCCAAAGTTAATAAAGAAAAGGAAGTCTGAGAGAAAAATATGTCTTAAGTATAATAACCTGGGTAGTATCCATTTCCTTAGTGAAGGCAAGGTTATATTCAAATGAAAATATAATAGTAGAAAATCATGCTATACGGGCTGGGGATGTGGCTCAGTGGCGGAGCTCTTGCCTTGTGTGTACAAGACACTGGGTTCCATGCCCACCACCACCACCACCACCACCACCACCACCACCACACACATGCGTGCATGTGCACACACACACACACAACTGTTTTAATAGGATAATCAGCATATAGATACAACAGAATAGAATTAACCTGAAATCATTCCAGAACATTTACTTAGGACTTAAAGTTCTGAAGAAAACAGGAGTATTTCTGAAAAATGTATTATATTAATATTCTGCTCATTGCTGCGAATCCTCTCCACAAAAGGGAAATTGGATCTTTCTTTTGCAAAAATCACTGGCACACAAACTTCAAACCACAGACTTCGTGATTTTTAAAAACCAACAGCTTCATTATATTTCCCCTTTTTTGCTAAGGAATAGGAGGTACTTTACAAATGTCACTATGGATTTACCTCAAGCATTTCTAAAAAATGTTTTAAAGCAGATGCTTAGGAAGCAACCGCAACTCTTCCAGATCACTCTTACTGAGGCATTACAAAAATAGTGTTAGGATCCTTCAAAACCAAAAAGTAAATAAAGAGAAACATACATGGAAAAGAGAACAAATTGGAGAGTGTATCAGTCAGTGCTCACTAGAGAAACAACGTAAGATATAAACATGTAAAGCTTTGCAAAGTAGGCTTACAATGGCCACCTGCAGTCAGGGGTGGAAGAGTGCAAAAGGGCTGTCCGTGTGCTGGAGAATAGAAGGATCCAGTCAAAAGCGAAAGGCCTGGAGCTCCCTGAAGAGTCCCATTTCACACAGTGTCATCCTCACTGTTCTAGATCAGGAAATGCAAGGGCCTGGGGTGCGGGGCACGGGGGTGGGGAGTGAGGTGGGGTTGAAGAGAATGCGCTGGAAGCCAGGAGTCTGACTTCTAAGGAGAAGGCAAAAACTGGTGCTCCTCCAGAGACAGAAATGAGCCTTCCGTTCTTATTCCATTCAGGCTATAAGCCTATTGATTGGCGCCACTCACAACCAGGGTGGGTCTGCTGTCTTCAGCAAACTCACTCAATCACACTCACCACTATGCTAAGCCAGTCAGGGGGTGTTTCTTACTTAAGCTGACACAACAGTATCACAGAGTGAAATCACTCTGTGAGAGCTAGTAAATACCACAAGTTACTTTAAGAACTGAGAGAAACTGTTGCTAACCACAGGCCTACACTAAAAGGTGCTCTAACTTTCTATACAAAGAAGTTCAAATTTCAGTCCAGTGAAAAGTTGAACATGGAAAACACAAGGAATAACACATACACAGGATTACACTTAGAAAATTCAGATACCTGTTTATTGCTGAGGAAAAAGTGGCCTCTGAAACCAATGGCCTTCCCCAATCAACTCCTGTGACCAGCTACATTTATTCTCTAATGACATGACAACATGTGCAGTGGCCCCTGAGCAGAAAACTCAGTCAGGGCTTCTGGTGGCTTGCTAGGCTCCCTCCCTATAGCCAAGCACCTACTTGGGACTAGCAGAATTGCTATTCCACACTAACATACCGCCAGGAATTAGCTACCAAAGACAAAGCACTGAAAGACAAAGCACTCTTGCCACATAAATTATCAATGAAACACTTATAGAGGAGAGAAAAAAGTGTAACCTCCAATCAAATAAATCCAGTGGGAACTTGTCAGTTACATATTATTCCACCTTTCTGTAATGTAGAAGACAGCTGATATTCTGTCAATGTTTTCCTGCCTAACTCAGAGTAAAGCAGATTTTACAAAGGACTTAAGATCCACAGTAACTTGCCTCTGTCCCCCAATTTTAATCTTCTAGACTGTTCTCTTTCAATCAAGCCTTGTTAGCTCTTAGCAACCAGGTGCCTCCCAAAAATGGTTTACAACCTGCTTATCTGCTGTGGAAACCCAAATGAGGATGGCTCACTCCGTCCCCAATTTCAAGTCTGAATTAT